TCCTCCACTTCATATTAGGTGTCTGTCCTAGTGAGTTACTGCCCACCCTAAGATGTACACAGCAGAGCAGGGTCAGAGGGGCTGGGAAAAGGGAAGATCAAACCCAAGCCCACCAACCTCAATTTAATTTTGGTAGAAATATAAGCTCTCCAAGCCATTGGGTACCTTCAAATAGCCCTGATGTCGAAGAAACATCATGTAAAGATACGTAAGGCTGGGCTATGTGACCTCCTTTACGCTCTAGTAGTTCCTTACTGACTACCTAAACATAACACAGCAATAAGGCATTCTTCAGTTTGACTTGGAGTGAAGCCTTACCCAATTTATTTTCTCCACAACAGTGTGTGCTAATAGTTTTATCTTGTCTCTAAGAAATCATAGGCTTGTAATCTCAACTGCAGTTGGGGCAGGGAAGCCCTTCCAATAACTTTTACACACCAAGATTGGAGCCACATCTTTAGTGAGGAAAATGCAATGTTCGGCTGACAGATAATATTATACTATCACTGATAGATAATATTATGCACATATATTTAAACAAGATGGTCTTTATTTCATCAAGTCTAAAAATAAGCCTTTAATACCTGCTAATTTAAAATCACACTTGGGAGCAAGCATTGCTATCAGGAACTGGAGCTCCCTTCTCACTTTAGAATTTCCCAGTACCAGCTGACCTCTGTGAATTGTGTGAGGAAAAAGCCATTCTGCAAATTACCAAATTCTTGCTTTTGATACAACAAGTATCTCCTGGATTGAAGCCCCTACAATATGAGAAATTTCTGCCTTCCCAGATGTGCAGATGCCACAGTGGTCAGGGAGAAACAGGACCGCGCTGTAAGGTCCCTGGCAGCACGCACCCTTAGGACATGGGTGTCTCTCTTGCTGGCAGCGTCACTGCCTGATGGAACACACCTGGATCATGCCACCCATGGACAGCCGGACAAGTAGAGAAAGAACCTGCCCAACTCATCTGGTCGCTGCATCTGACCTACTTTGTGTTCTGTACATGCAACTCCATATTAAGTCTCCAACAAAATGCCTTAAGGACAAAAATACTTCTCTTTTAAGAAAAAGGAGCTGGGCTGGACATGCAGGTGATGCCAAGCTGAGGCTCTGATCTTGTATGTTTATTTATGAGCTTTGGACTGATTTCTTTATGCTTTGAGTTTCTTTTTCTAACAGGAAATGGGAAACTACCTGATTTTATACAACATTTCTCCATCATAAGCTCTGACATGAGAAATTTGTGTCAGTATCTGAAAATAATTTTTTGTTATACTTAACACTCATTTTCATAGGAGACATTTCCTACCCTGCTTCTTACAGTGATCAGATAATGTGCGGTTGTACCCAGGACTATTTAAATCATTTGAAGGAATATAAGAGTACTAAATATGTGTGACAGAGCTCTCTCTACATAACTTCAACTTGTCAGCATGTCTTACTCCTACAGAAACCCCGCTTCCTACCACATTATATAGAGATACTAGTAAGTATGCAGTGCAAGATAAGCTATATTTTTCTTGCTGTTCCATTCTAATACTATGTGTTGAAACAGTTGCTGTGCAAAAAATTTTGAATTTCGAAACTGTTAAGTTGAACAATTTCCATTTACACTACAAAGTCTTCTGTAGATGAATGTACATTTGGGAAAAAGAACACTTTCACATTCAAATTAAAGCATAGAATTGTTAAAGATCAAAGTAGCTCTAACCACTTAGATTACTTTTTGGTGGAACTAGAAAATTAACATGTGAAGAAAAGAATGCAAGTGATGTGCAAATTACATTATAGAGTATCTTAGAAAATATTATTTTTATAACTGAATCAAAATGACAGGGAAAGGAAGACTTGTTACTTGGATTTTTCAGAGAACTTACTGTTGGATAGCAAGCAAAATATAAATACTAAAGTAATATATGCAATTACAGCAAGTTTTTAGTCAGCAGGGACCATTGTTAGGACTTGTTTTACAAGCATTTAAGATTTTCATAATAATCTGAAAAAGAAGGTTCATAGCATGCTAATAAAATGAAGAGATAATTCTAAATTGAAAGAAGTCACAAAGCATCAGTGAAGACTGAGACATAATGTAATAGGATTGAAAAGGTTAGAAAAATAAGAAAGAGAAAATGAGATTCAAACTTGGAAATGTGCAGTCAATTATATCTTAATAAAAACTGGAGAGAAGTGAGTTTGAAACAAGTTAAGCATTATTACCAAAGGAGTAACTGAACTGGATATTGGTTGACATGAGATGCAGAAGCTGCAAAGACTACTTTTGCTCTGGGCTGCCTGTGAAGAAGTCTGTCCCTTGGAGAGCTTGCAGCAACTTTTAGAAGTTCAAGGATGAAAGGAATCCCACACATTCATTTATGAGGGAAAAATTAGGATGGTTGCACTCAAGATCGGGCAAGTGACAAGTGAGGCTGTGCTTAAATATATATATAAATATATTTGAAGAATTTAAAGACCAGAAGAAAACTAAGACTGGAAATTAATCAGAAAATAATCAGTGCAGAAAAGAACCAACAAGATCTGGGATACTCAGTGTTTTAGTGTATCACAAGGCATGATGGTATAAAGAAACTTCTATCAGGCACAGGAATCAATGCAGTATAGCTTTTATGCCTCCTATATATTCTCTATGATTTCTTCTAACAGTTAAGGCGTAACTTCTATTTAGCATGAGTTGAGTTTACTCCAAATCTTACTGGAGTAAGACACAATTCTGCAGTGAAATTTAAGAACACTATAATATGAAATCAATGCATCCCAGTGTTTAGTTTTCCTCCTCTGACTGCAAGACTCAGCTTTACAGATGGTCCAACAATCCGCTGTAGCACTGAGGCACTTTTTGTTTGTTTTTAAACACTGAAAATATCACTTGCCTGTGCACTAATCCCAGTATTTTATGGTATATCTCTTCCATTTTTTCATATGTGTCAGCTGATTCGTTATACTACAGTACCTCTCACTATCACCCTTATCCATCTGCTGTAGGTGCCACAAATGACAGGCAGCAGTACATGGGTAAAATCCTAGCAATTTAGGAGACCCAGTTTCAATTTCAAAAGGAAAAGAGTTAAATCCCAGAGCATCTGAATTTTGCTGTCAGCTCAGAGACAGGCTCTTTCCTATCTCCTGCTTTATGTTCTTGAGAAGGTGAGTACTGGTTAGATAACACACAGGATGAAAGACTGGAAAATGTGGAGTTGGTTTAGGGCTTGAAGAGCAAAAAATATTGGTGAAACTTTAAGAATGGTAAGTTATTTCTAAGAAAACCAGCAAAAGATAAAATTTAAATGATTCTCTAAAGCTTCATGAGTGAAAAGAACTCATTGACTTCCGTGGGATCCCTTAGCCACTAAGCATATATTCTCTATTTGGGCTCATTTCTGTAACTGAGCACAAACCATAATCCATGGACTATCAGAACTGTCACATTTCTAGACCTCCTCTGAGTCTCTGGAAACATTTCCCTTTGGTATGGGGGATGCAGGGAAACAGCTCTTAAGGATGGTTTAAATTGCCTCTCAGCTGGTTTGCAGTACTGTGATCCTCTGTTGCAGAACTGAGGTGTGCACAAGCCACATGTAAGTAATATTCATACCCCCACAAAAGCTGAGAGGGAAGTTGGTGCAGATGTTCCTCGCTAATCCTACGCTATGGGTGTAGGACTTCACTGGACAGTCCTAGGCCAAATGTGATAGTAAAACATGTCCTAATAAACAGAGTGGCAAAACCCCATATCTTTCTAGTGCACAATTTGCAACTAAAGCACACAATGTGTTATGTATCCTCCTGCACATGAGCATGCATGGGTACAAAACATACTACAGATTCTAACTGCAACTTCATTTTTTTATGAGACAGTAACTACTGTATACATCATTACTGCAATCTATATCGAGTGGAGGCCACATCTCCAGGGTTCTCAGTAGGTCTGAGTACACGCATAAATTTATAGATGTAGGTGCACATCCATGAGGCAGCAAGGTCAGGCCAAAACTACAAAGGGATTTTATGATATGAAAATAATTAGGTTGTTAAAGTGCTTTTGAATACGATTTTCTTCTTCTTCTTCTTCTTCTTCTTCTTCTTCTTTCTTTTTAATTAAATTCCATTAACAAATTGTTACCCTTTGATTATATTCTCAACCACAAACTGATGCAGCATATTTTACTTGTTGTGGTACCTAATTAGAATGCCAATCTTCTTTCACGTTATTTCTTTATAATAGAAGCAGTTCCTCCAGTGGCTTTGGAGAAGTACAGCTAGAAGCATCAGATGAACAGAAATCCTCCTTGAGAAGAATCACGGTTAGCTGTTGTCTTTCAAACAGTCTCATCTCACAGAGAGGTCTCTTTGCCACTTTTCAAAGATGAAATAAAGAGACAGGTTCTCCAAGGCATTCAGGCAGAGCGGGAATATCCAAGCAACTACATTCAGAGTGTGTGCACTTCACAAATTCAGTGAACGTGGTCTGCATTGACATCCATGCACCAGAAGTAGCAAGCTGGTATTTTTTCACAGTAAATATCCCAGAATTAGCTGCCATGGGGATTCTGGGTGTTGACAAGAATACAGATGGTTGGCTGAAGGGATCATTTAACCCTGCTAGTAATGAGCTCATTTGAAACAAGCTCCCCACTCCTAATTATCACTTGGTTATGATTGATTCGTCACCTGCTTTGATGCTTCTATTTCATAAACAGAACATGAAGTACTGGGTTTAAGAAACTGCATATTTTGAAGATTTTGGTAAAGACAGAGCTGTCTTAATATTATGTCAATTAGTGCCAGACTGATTTTCTTTCCTTTACTCTCTGTATGTGTGTGCACATACTCTCTGTATGTGTGTGCACATACACGCATGTGTGAACATGTAATTATTGTGTACCTGTGTATGGAATGACTATATAACATTTCAATAAAGACAGCACTGGAGCTTAGCTTATATGTACACATTGCACTACAGGAATAGGAATTTTTCTTACCTATTTCACTCATGGATATCCCTGGTGCTAATTGCCCGTTGTTGAAAGAGCTGTAGGTAAACAAGTTTGGTACAGAGGTGAGGTCATAGAGAGGTTCCTGCTTTATCTGTTTGATTCCAGTCATGTCTAATCCAGACTGGTCTGGGGAGGGCTGGGCAGAATCCACGTTATAATAGCCCTCAGACTTCGGCAGATCGATGACGTGCCCATTTGAGTAGGTGCTGCCAGTTTCGTTATTCAGGTTGTTCAAGCCATTGCTGATGCCATTGCTGTAAACCCTGGCGAGGGCTTCTGCCTCACCACTTTGCTGCTGCCGCTGTTCCTGTAGTCGCTGCTGGTGCTTCTGCACTTCAGCGTACAAGCTATCCCTCTGCTTTTTGGACATTCTTCCAAATTTCACAGCTGAAAAGCAAAGCACGATTTCACAGCTGAAAAGCAAAGCACAAGTTTTTCTTGATTGCCCTCAACCCCCCTCACTTTTATATTTACTTTCAGGGTTAATTTTGCTGTGGAAACATCTTTTTCTGTGGAAATGAGAAAGGATGCAAAGCTTTACACCATATGCAGCTCATAAAGGAAACAGTATTAAGTGCATGAACTTACAAACTGACGACTCTTATTTGACAGGAGGCCCTCAGTCAAGCAACTTACATCCCACTGAGAATGTTAGAAAGACTATGCATCCTTTTATATCTTTATGTTCACCGAACAACAACCCAGAGCTGTATGGAATTTACAGTACGTAGATTCATATCCTATGTGATTTACTAACTTTTCATAAACCTTTAAACAGTACACTAATAAGATTAGTACTCTGTATGAAAACGAGCCTTAAAGCCTTATTATCACATCCTTGGAATGGGGTGTTATCTTCACACTTAAAAAAAAAAATAATCTTACAGGTTAGAATTAGAATTTAGAGGAAAATAACAGAATGTTATCTTTTCCACAGAGGAAATCTTAGGGATTTACACAATCAACTTACATAATCTCGGTGCACAAATCATGTACTTCTTCCGATGAGAAAGGGAGGAAAACATCAGAGGGCAAACCACTTTCCCCAGAAACAGGGTTCATTACACTGAGATTGAAATTTTAAAAAATGACAGGCTGAGTGCTATGGAACTAGAAGGAGTGAAGACACAGCCTGCATATACAGTAGATCATAGCTGACTATCTCTCCACTCACTCCCCACCTCACCATGTCTCTATAAATTCTGATATTCTACTGGGCTAGATCTTGGGATCTTAGAGCAGAGGTAGTTCATTGTGCTCTAAAACAAACGAGGGACACATTCAGCAGAATTAGTCAGAACACAGGTAAAAGGACATTGCTCCAAAAACACACATTTCTACTTATTATGAGGTGTATTTTCACACTATGTATTTCCAGTCCATCTCAAAATGGGATCAATTCAGAATCCCCACATTTACTAGCACAGGATGGCTAATAGCATAGGACACTCTTTTAGCCCTCAAGAGGAGTTTGAGCCTATACATGGATGAATGTGAAATTCTTCAATCAGGAAAAAGAAAAGCATAATATGAAAATAAAGTGACAGAACAAGAAGATGGCAGCCTCTTCCCTTTCTTTTCACTTTTTTGTTACACCAAGAGGGTGTAAAATTGCTTCTTATTGCCAACTTCAGTTTACCTGCAGTCCTTCACTCAGGCTGCAAGCTTCCTCACATGAACTCAGCCTGCTCCTGCAATCAGTCCGTGGTGCACTGCATATCCTTATGGACATATACAGTGACTGTATTTTGAATAATGCAATTGTGTATTTTCTTCAAATTTAGGGCCTTGGTAATAAAAACAAATACCCACTGTTTATCCTGATTATATATTCATTAATTGGATTCTCCAGCTGCTGTCAATTAGCATCCTGCCTTTGCATGATAAAAATGAATCTATTACATGTCTGAGAGGTTAAAATCACATTCAGCTTTTCTGTTAAAAAATTCATACAGCCTATTTTAAATTTGCAAGAGCTCTTAATATTGTTCATTTTAAACACCTTACATAAGCTACGAGAGAATAAAGCGATGCTTTTGGACGAATAATTCGCTTTGTCTGTATGCAGTGATCCCCAGATTACTCTTGGGAAGACAGTGCTGTCTGTCACACTAAAATGCCCTTGTGATATCTTAAATCACTGGAAGACAATACTTCTAGGAGGAAATCATGTGCTGTTAAATTACTGAAATGTTACTACTTTAATTACTGCGAAGAATTAGAAACTAAGGTGTTAAGTAAATTGGATGCTAGGACCAAAAAGAATTAATGGATTAAAGGCCAGACTGCATGGCTCCTCCCAGATTTGTGAGACTGGAGAGCAAGTCATTTCAGTGAGACTTGAGATACACTGTGGTAAAAGAAGACCTACTGCGATCCAAATTTAAAACAAGTTTATAATCTGTGGACCATCTAAAGAAACAGCTCTTTAGATAACTTCTCCATCAATGACTGGTAATTTCAAAATACATATTTTGTGTAAACTTTTTAAGATAGAAAACTGCTTCCAGGCAAATGAAATTATTATAACTTGCTTTCAAAAAAGAGGACATTTTCTTCTTATATTTTCTGACTATTTAAAATGTGCCTGTAAGCTGGAAATCCCCTGCATGAGAAGTGGTGGCTGGGGGAAGTAAATTGTGGGCAGCCTTACCAAAGCCTCTCACTACCTGCAGCTTTGTTGTGATGCACATTCTCAGATGCAATCTTGGCTCATCACACCACAGCTTGGAAGGTGGACCAGAGCTCTTCAAGGACCATAGGATCCTGAGACGGGATACACTGTTGAGCTTTCCTCTGGCAAAGGGTCCATTTTCAGTGCTTAATTAGGAAATGTTTCCTTTATAGACCCAGACAGGGACAGGAGGCAGTGTGCAGGTAAAAGAAAGGTTTTTTTTTTCCACCCCAAAATATTTGGTTAAGTGCTCTGAATAAAACAAACAGAAAGCTCTAATGCTATCAAGGTGTAAATTTCTGTTTAACTGCCTAGTTACTGTCACAAACCCTTAGAGATCTCAAGGAAAGGGATGCTTTCACACAACAATATTTAATGTTAAAAAAAATGTTCATGTTTAATATAATGCTTAATATAAACCCACCTCTCCACAGCTGACCTATCTGTGCTTTGTGCTTTTGACCAAAATCACATATTTCACATCTGATTCCTTCTGTTTCAAACTAATACTGCTCTCCATTTTGTGATTTCCCCACCCTTTCCATGAAATTAGTCTCTTTTGTTAACCAAATGGAAAAGATCATCTCACAGTGCATGCAGTACAAAGCAAGAAGCTTCTCCTCTCTCTTTTTGCAGAAATCTACAGGGAATTTAAGTAAGTCAGAAGTGAAGAAGAGTTTGAAAGGGCTTAGGTATGAAGCACAAATTTTACTCCTTACCATCTCGAGACATTCCCAGGGCAAGGCATTTCTGCAGTCGGCAGTGTTGGCAACGATTTCTGTTGGTTCTGTCAATTAAACAGTTTCTCTGTCTTGGACAGGAGTAGGACGCATTGTTCTGTTGACTTCTCCTAAAGAATCCCTTGGGTGCAAGGAGAGATCAACTATTACCATGAGCATATATGTGAGGGTGCGCACACATACACCCAACAGACACACACATACACACACACACACACAGAACCATGCAAATGACTACAAAAAACTTTATTTAGTGTAATGCTACTCATGCTGTGGCTTTGTAGGTATGGTGGCCTTGCACAGTGAAATTTAATAACATTTACTTATAAGGAGAATTTTGCTTATTCTGTAAAGAATGTAATTCTACTTTGTTAAAACTCAAACAAATAATGCTACAGAATGCATTTTTATTGTGCAATACTGATCATGTATCATCTAACACTTGCTCCTAATACAGGAAAAGCTTGTCAGCATTTGTAAAGAGATGAATTAAATGCACTTGTTTTGACTATTTTCTTTCTTTAATGAAGAGACTGGTAATAACTGTCACTAGGTAGAAATAGCATTAGAAGCTGAAGTCTGCTCTTCAGTTTAACCTGGCAAATGTTGATCTGATCTGGAGGGGCTATACCCTTCAAGAATGAAAAGTAATTCAAATTCAAGCTTCACAAAAGCACTAGGATATAATGACTGTATCAAGTAAAAACAACACACAAAGGAGAAAGTAACACCTTTAGATACTATCATGAGAAAGTAACGACACTTTCCATTTCAACAGAATATAGCATTATCCATTTTATCTTTGAAAAAATGTGTATTCTATCTCCTAGAAGGTTTTTCTGGCTAGTTGTGGGTTATTTGGCTAGAGATCTGAGGGCTAGAGGGAAAGTATATATACTGAAGTCCTTATGAGCTCCTAGTTGCTAGGAGCTGTGCCACAAGTTGTGCTGAAAGGCACTGTTATGGTAGTATGGACACGAAATAGCAGAGGTGACAAGACGAATGAAACCAGAGGGCGAGGATAAACAAAAATAAATAAATCTATTTTAAAACAAAGAAATAATAAAAAAATAAAGGTCAGGAAGAGCTGTTAAGTCTGGAGAGAAACAAACAAAGAGAAGTTCCTTGACAAGTTTGACACCTTTAGATGCAAACAGTTGCAGGATGTGTGGTGGAAAAGCCGAAGGACAGCCTAGCCACTGCAGGAGACTATGAGGAGTAAAAGAGCAGTAGTATCATTACCGGAGTTACACCACTCATTGGAAGTGATACTGAAGTGGTGGTACACTGGTGATACCAGTGTGGGCTGGTTTGCAAACACCACTGAATGGAGCCAGAAAGCAACTGCTGACTTCGTTTACCAGAAAAAAACAGTGTATCTCTGTACAGACTGACGGATGGTAATACTGAGCAATGGAATGAGAGTAGAGAGGTCAGGCCTTAATTCACTTGCTAACGGTTATACCCGAATTCTCATTCAAGTCCTGGCGAACCAAATGAGTGTGTTGTAGGGTGTCAGTAACAACAGGCGATGGGCATTGTGTTCCACCAAGGACACTGGCAGCATATGGAGGCTCACTTGAACTGGCCTGAGCTTGTTTTATCAGTGATTACAGTATATGTAAAATCTAATTAAATTTTATGATTTGCACTTTTGAGAACATGGATGTCCTTTAGGGGAACTCTCAGAAAAATTCTGGTGGCAACTTCTCTGGTCTTGGCTGACCAAAACTTTCCTGAAATTGTGGAGGTGCATTTAATTTAAGGCTAAATGGATGCTAATAGCAGATATTTTTACTCTCTTTGTTGAACTTTATAGCCAATTTTGGTTTTGACTCGTGAAGGGTATTCTGCTTCAACCATTTAGATTTTAGCAGCATCTATGTCAATATGGATTTGAGAGAACAAATTACATAAATGATGTTATAAAACCCCTCACAACCATTTAGCATTGACTGTGCCTTATTCTGCAGTGCTTTTTGTTCCCATTAATGTTGATCTCATCTCAGAAGAATCTGTTTGTTTCTTCTTTGCCCCTCTTAGGAAAAAAGGATCACATTATGTATCAAGTGTTACATAATAAAATTAATTTACAGCAGATAATTCATTTTTCTGAGGAGAATTTTGTGCTCTTTTTCTCCAGTATAAGATCTAAATATTCTCTTATAAAGTAGAGACAATCCTTTCATTTCATTTTTATGGAATCTTTATATAGCATTGGCTATATTTACTCAGAATAATTTCATTTTGCATGAAAAAAGAGGCAGCTCATTACTGAGGAGCTAAAGAGTTAAAGACAGATTTCCCAATGTTCCCAACACTGACAACAAGTCTTTCTGCATCGTGAACAAATCACTTCATCCACCACCCACAGTCAGTCTGAGAAAGGAAATGGCCATGTGAACTACTTTCTAAATCATGACAAAAGAATGGTAGCAAGTACTTTGCTCTGGGGGATAGGCAGAAGAGACGGTAAAAGGCTTCTCAGCAAAGAAGAAGCCACAGAAACAGATGGGATGGAAACTTATCTTCAGGTTTTACCATTTCGGTAAGGATATTGGCAGAGATGCAATTTTCCTCACTGCGTCCAGCAGGTTATTCAGCATATGCAGGCATGTACACAGAACAACAGTAATATTTATGATGATCCTTAAGCACTTATAATATGGATTTGCAGCACCATAGCTAATGTAGGGACACAGAGTTTAAGGATTTCCTGTTCCTTGAAATTTGTAGCACTGCCACTGGCAGTGTAATTCTTGGATGCTGTATCCTGAAATGCTGCAGCTATCAGATGCCTGGCTCAATGTGTGTACATGCTTCTGGAGTGATTCTAGCCTATTTCTTCCACATAAGGCCTCCATTCTTAATTATTTCAGATTTCTAACATATTCAGACAAAAGGAGCCAGAAATGACCAGTTATTGGTATGTGGGCTGAATGAATAGTTTTTTAAATGCTGAGCATTTAAATGAAGAGCAGAGCTGCACTTCCTGAAACAGTGCTTACCTTAACAGGGAGCTCTGACAGTCTGAGATGGCTCCCAGTGGAACCGATCTGAAAGCCGACATCTTTTTTTCACACAGGCTCACAAAACAAGATTAGACTAATTGATCTGATACTGCAAAACTGGCACAAAACCAATAGGGTTAAAACTGTCATAAGTGGAAGAGAAGCTCTTTATCTCAATAAGCATTCTACTCACAGAGCTGACTAGTATCATCTCCTCTTGAGGCACACACAAGGGCCAATATTAACCTTAATTACTTCTACAGAAGACTATACCCCTAACTGTTCTGTGGGCACTGAGTGCTGAGAGATGTTCCTTTTCTGCTTGAAACAATTTTCTTCTGTAGCTTTTGTGTCAGCTTTGTAGTATCAGATCAATTAGTTTAATCCTGTTTCATGTTATCATAATAAGAAGATGCTTATTTCTAGTCTAGTGTCACAATAAGACACTGACACACTGCAAATTGTTCTCCTTACAAGCATTAATGTTCCTGAAAGAAATCTGAACTTTACTAGTTTATTGCTTCTCAACGTGCTGGCATTAAAATATTTCTTTTGCAAACGGGTACACCCAAATTTTCAGATTTTTCAGATGTTCTAAAATTTTGTAAAGCATTAAGTAAGTACAGACTTGAGATTTCACTCTACAAGTAGGCACTCATTTTCAAGTGTCCCAGTTTTTGTGCTTCCACATAGAAGCAATCAGAGATGCTGCCTCTCTATCTTTGCAATTTCATATTTACAATCAAAACTGAAATATTAACATGTAATATGGAATTCTGGTTTTCCATGAATAATAATATAATCCCTCAGATAACAAAATCTCAGAGTATTTTTAAAGTAAAAAATTGAAGCCCTTTTTCTCTTGGCTTGTGGTCTGATTTGTGGTATTTGATCTAGTGCCTGAGGTAATATGTTAATATGACTAAGCAGCATGGAACAGTTTTATGCGTCCCCATCCTTTTTTTTCTAAATCTCCAATTCCCAGCAATTGCCCTGCACTGAAGCCTATGCAGGAGAAGACAAAGGGTCCTTTTACACTGCTCACACTGTAAGGCATTTTGGGGATTGCAATTTGGTCTGCAAGGAATGCAAAGGGGATAAACCAGGACCAAATTCACACCTGTAAGCTCTTAAGATGCTGACGGGAAATAATGTGCCAACTTTAATGCTACCTGGGTTGTATAGGAAACAAGATAAGAAATCCACCTCTCAAGCTGACTTCAGTTAGAACAGGTGTGACTTGCAGCTGCCAGCCTCGGTATCAGCACTTACACTGCATCAGATGTAGCTAATTCAAGTTTCAAACAGCTCTAAAGTCTATCTGATAAAGCAGCTCTAAAGTCTATCTGATAAAAAAGAAAGCATCTAACGAAACTAGGCATGAAATGCATCTCTATCAGCAGTAGGCTTTACAGTCTTTGGCACCACACTTGCTTGAAAGCATGTAAGAGTGTATTATTGTACAGAGACGCCTTAGGCTAATGCAGATGCTGATGAGTATGCCGTATGAAAATCTCATACCTTGCAGCCTTCACATGTGATGACTCCATAGTGTATTCCAGAGGATTTATCACCACAGATTTTGCATGGTATCACTTCAATTTGTGCTGAAAAAGAAAACAAGACAAATATTTTGAGTATATAACTCCATTTCTTTTTCTCTCAAATGAAGATCTTGAAAACTAGAGCTAGGGAGCAGATTATCAGGTCAACCCCCAACAATATAAAATTGCTTTGTATTGTATGTGTGTTTCTGAATGTTTTGGTGTGGCAAATCTTAAGTGCTTCATGTAGTTTCTGCCATATCCCGCAAAACTTCAAAAGTTTAAAATGGCTCACAATTAGTAAGTTTTTCCTCATATTCCCTTTTTAAAAAAATTATTTTACTAGTTAATTTCATAATCATTATTGCTAATGACAGTCATTAGACATCCTGAATAATAATCCAGATTGTCTTTTCTTACACATTTCCATTTTGATAAGGTAGAATTACATGGTATATTTTGATGCATTTTTCAAAAAAGTAGAGGTGATGAAATTTTCACATCCTTCAGATTATGGCTTCAAGACACAAAGATACTAATACCACTGTCAGAGATGGTAGTAAGGTAAACTGCACAAGGTGAATGCTAGCAGGCTCTCTACTTTGGAAAGTCAAGCAACTATTCCCTTGGAACAGCATATCCCAAAACCCAGGGACAAGGACTTTCATGGATGGCTAAAGAGACTTTAGTTCACCACTATGAGCTCAGTTTCCTGAGATGCTGTTTCTGATCAAGTACGAGGCAAGGCTTAGGCAAGCAAACCATTTTTCAAACTGTTCCTAATCCCATATAGAGGGAACTCCTTACAGAGAAGCATCTGCAATTCTTTGGAAATGTTGCCAGGTTGATTCTACTCAAAAATTCCTATGCCTTATTCCCACTGAGATAATAAAAATATTTAAATATGTGCCTCCAGGCACTGATGTTTTGAGAGGCTCGTTGGGTAACTGCTCTCAGATCTCTGCTTGAGAGTCAAGGGGAGGGAGAAAGGCTTGGCTCTGGGACCACGTGCTGCTTTATGTTGACAAGTTTCAAAGACATGTCAATATCAGAGGCAGAACTGCAGTAAGAATGTGAGGAGATCTTGAGGAAAAGACAAGACAAGACAAAACACAACAAAAAAATGAAGGTACTTTTAAAGTGACTTGCATATACCACTTGTAACTCTGATGGGAACAGAGAGAGAAGAATCAATCCTGTGACACTCATTGCATTTAGCACTGTAAGCAATCAATAATTTCATACATGACTTGCAATTATAATCTCTACATTCATGGTAAGTATTTGTGGACCATGTCTCAAAATGCTAAGGCTCTGGCTTTCAACTAATATGTAAAAAATGCTTTAGACTTGTAAGTCATCGGTTAATTCAAACACTTATTCATAAATAACTATTCTATAAATTAGTAACTAAAGGATGTCTGGGAAATTGCTACTATTGCTCACAGAAAAGACAGCATCTTTAGAACACAGAAAGCATTTGAGTAAGTTTGAAAAGTATACTTTGCTACTGTCTTGTAACCATTTCTTTTTGTTCACAAAGCAGCAGAACAATCTCAGAATGTTGAGCCATTGATTTTAAAGGCCAGATAAAAAATGAAGCAGTTGTATTCACAGAAGCCTCTTGAGATACTGTAATTTACACTGAGTGTACCATGTTTCTTTTGCAGATTTAATCACTGTCAGAGGCTACTACACCTTTTGAACATTCCATCTTTGTTTATGCAATTTTATGTTCTTTTTCTTCTTTCTTTCATGTATTACACCAACAAACAGTTTAGCGACCAATATTTCCAACTCTCTATATAGCTATTAAAAAGTAAGTAGCTTTCTTCTGAATTTCTTACAAAAATAAAATGCATTGATTAAGTACCACTTCTGAATATTGAGGCAAAATAGGAATGAATGAACAATAGTGGAGTTGCCACAATGATAACTTTCAGCAGCACAGGAATAGAACTTATTTTCTCTGAATGTATTAAACATGAGGAAGGAATAAGTGCAAAACTACTTACCTACACTTTGAAGGTCTTTCCACTTGCCTTCTTACCTATCAACTCTAATAAAATGAATAAGAATAATGGCTCCTGCCTCTTTTCAAGCCAAACTTGAGTCCATTAGTTCAATTTTTCAATAAGCACATTAAGATGTGAGATAAGAACCTGCAAAACCACCATCGCCCTGATGTCTAACAAAACATTTATAATGTTTGGATACATGCTGCATTGTGATTGCTCCCTATCACCAGCTGTAGCTTCTTTCCTCAGTGCCACAGGGTCATCTCCCTGCAGTATTCATCTCTTATTTTACACTTAAGTTGCAAGTTCTTTAAGGCTGCGAACTACCTCCAGTTTTACATGACACTATACAAATTATAATGCCACAACAGAGATTGCTTAATTCTATATGACCAGTAATAATAATCCACAGATGACAGGAGTACCACTTGGAACCTAATTCCTTCTCTCAGGATAACAAGAAGTAGGGTGGAATTCTATAAAGGAAGCAAATACAAGGTCTTCTCACACATTTGAAATGAACACTCAGATAAGAACAAATATGCAATTAAAAACATCTTCAAACCAAGTACACTGAGATGCTTTTTCTCTGCCTTTTTTTTTTTTAACCAGCAAAAAGCTTACTCATGGTTAAAAAATTTATTATCCTAAAAGGAGGAAAATAATCAGGTTACAAAAGTTGAAATTAGGAATGAATCTGTAACTGAAACTGTCACTGTTAATTTTCTGAATTCCTCTTGAAAGAAAGGTAAGAGTCAACAAGGCAGCTAATGTGTCTGATGTGTATTTGTGGGGATTGTCACTCACATGTATATATTGTCTAACAGGAAAAAACAAACCTCAAATTTTATATAATTTCTGTTTTATAGCTGAGGAACTTCAGCTGGGAGAGATATGATCATAATCTCCCAGACCTGTAGCTTTTTTTTAAGGGGGAAAAAAGACTTGAGCTTTCAATATTTAGTTCTTGATCAAAAGAGGATACTAAAGCATGATGGACGTGAACTTTGAAGAGGAAGTCCTCTGTATAATTTGTTGATCCAGGGGGGTTTGCACTTGGAAACATTGAGGCTAATCAGAGAACTGACAGTGAAAAAAGACATTTGCTTCACTCCTATCATCGTTAAGTTGGAGTTCTCCAAAAAATGCTAGATTGGCCCAGTTCACTTTCCGGTTTCTACACCTCAGTGATTTCAAAGTAAGTATATTCAGCATTTTTACTTACTTGCCAACTCTACCTTTTTTATCCTGACCTCGGTAAGACATGCTTTTTCCCTCGCACATTACTGTCAATAGAATTTTCCACTTTAAGTTAGACTGCCAGCTAGATCTTGCTATCCCCTTTGCTGCTGGATTAGATGTTCTGTGGTTTCGCAGCAAGACTTCAGGTGCTTTGTATTTAGTAACCTGAAAATATAGAGCTGAGGATACTAGTTATGTTTACAGACTCTGTCAAATGTCATGCAGTGAGACCTATACTGTTAGTAATATCGCTGCAATTAATTAATGCCACATAATTAATTAGTGTGTCTGTAGACACATTTGCTGTCAGTCATACCCCAAATGAGCTATTAGAGTAAACAAATATGGTGCAATTCTCCCAGGAAAGTAATGTTTTCATAAAATCTTAGCACTTTTGGACAGTGATACATTAAACTCTGACAGTGAGTCTGGGCCTAGACTTCATTAGAGCAACAAAGACTCTCTGCATGTACAGCAAAGTTGACGATTCCCAAATATGCCAGTCCTACATCTCATGAGTAAAGATGTACAAATTTCCGAGGAGAAGTTCTTGTATATCTTTATGTATCATGGGTCAAGCATAATAGATGTGATCTGTGCGTGATACATAAAAACTTGTCATAAATTTCAAGGTAAGTGATAGTTGTGTGTGGTGGTTTGGGCTAGGCCTTCCTTGGTGACCAGTTTGTAACCAAGGAAGGGTCCAGATTTACCCAGTATTCCCTACGATTTTTACGTAAGCCAGACTATAAGAAGAGAGGAGGAGAGGCCTTCGCTCTCTTTCCTTCCGGCGGCTTGGAGGTGCAGGTTCCCTGCTGTTGAGTCTGCCGTGTTGGGGAGCGAGGCCTGGCTAGGCCTTGCCGACCTTGGGAGACAGAGGTTGCCGGTGATCGTTCCGGAGCGACTCTCGGTTGTCCCAGGAGAGTAGTGAGATACCTTCTTTGCTAACTCTTTTGTTCTTTAGTTACTAGATCTCGGGCTACTGATTGGGATATATATATATATATATATATATTTTATTTGAGTTTTGTTCCTTTTCCCCTTCCCCTTTCCCTTTCCCTTGTGAAATTGTATATAAGTGTAAATATATTTATATATATCAGTTTGGTTGTCCTCTCTCTCGTTTTCGGGTTTTTCTTAGTTTTTTTCTCCCTCTTCTCCCTGAGGTTTTTTTTGTTGGGGGGGGGGGGACTTCTGGTGGTAAGGTTTGGAGACTTGGCAGGGAGCCAGCTTCAAACCATATCATTGTGGAAGTTTGATATTGAGAAATCTGACAGATCATGGCTCAAAATAGAAGTGGGACAGATTACTGTTAAAAAAGAATGTTTCTTGCATAAATACACGCAATTGTCATGTGTGATTTCTTTCATGGTCTCACACTCCTAGTGGAAGCTTCTTTAGTTTACAATCAGTGTCACTTGGAAGGTTATTTGGTGATATGTTTTCTTTTCTCCTTCCTCTTTTATGATTTTCCAGTGGGGGGAAAATAAACAAACCAAACCAAAACCAAAACCAAAAGAAACACTCACCCCACAAAACAAAAAAAACCCCAAACCACAAAACTGCCAAAAAACTGAATTGTATATTTACTCTTCTTACAGATCAACTCTGCCTTTTATTGGACAGCTATTCTAAAGACTATTGGAAAAAAATATTTTAAAACCTGAAGTTTTTTTCATGAAAAGTCTTTACGTAGTTACTCTGTGCACCCTTATTGTGTGCATTTAAAATTTACTGAAAGATAAAAACTTACAAATACGCATGATAATGTTTGTAGATTGACTAGAAGTTTTAAAATTACAT